CTAACCCAACAAAAGAGTTAATATTTTTCCACCTGTTTAGTGAGTTAAATCAGCTCATCAGAGGCTTAGAAAAGTGCCAGAGACCAAAAGAGAGACTGTGAAGCTTGAAGCAGGGAGGGAAATGGAGAAGCAGGGCCACCTTTTTGGGTGGCACTAACTTGGTACATGTTTCTTGTTACCTGCTCTTCCTGACTCACTACAACCCTATGTCCATTTTTTCCTGAGCACTGTTGCTCCTGGATTGTGCAGGCCAGGGGATGGAAAATCTACTGAGATCAGTACTCCTGATGTAAATAGTACTCCTGTTAGTTTGGAAGGGGAGTGGTTCTGGGGCACTTTTTCTCTCTGATCTGGCATATTTAAGGCATCAGGCCTCCAATATTGAGTTAATGAAAAGAAAAGTCCTGGGTTGCAGCACATCCTTTTGCCAGGGTCTTCCTGGATTTATGCCTCTCCAGATACAGAGCTAGAAGGTATCATTCGGCCCTTTTGGCAATTTAGCATAAGAGCTTTGGCCATTACGGGGTAGCAGCTATGGAAAAGAGCAAAGCCATCCTCTGTGCTGCTCCAGGGCATTAGAATTTTACAACTGATGTTCTGGATAGTCACCATGAGGAAAGTGATTCAGTTCCCACCATTAGATCCCTGCACTGCCATTGCATAACAGATCCTTTCTTTTAATATATCTTGAGCATTTAGTGACTCCCAAGGAGGAGCAGACGTACAGCCATAACCATCCTATGGCAGGCATTAGAGATCCTGCTTCCTTGCTGCTCTTAGTCCAGCCACCTCCAAGAGTGCAAAAGGAAAGCAGAACCCCCCTTTCTCAACTTGGGCATCATTTACAGCCGCTCTGAACATGCATACGACAATGCAGCGTAACTCAGAAGTGGGGAGCTATCTTCTACCTAGGCAGCCAGACACCCACTTTACAAAAGCTTCTTATTTGTACCAGTTCTTAGAACCTTTTTCAATGCAGCACCCAGTGCCAGTGTGCTTAAGAACTATATTTTTCTTCTAAAAAGGTTCCAAATGTTCTTCTCTTCACAAATAAACCTGCATATGGGAAGCTGACACAGAGATACACACCTAAGCAGAACTCCATGTGATACTCAAATCTGATCTTTCTTATACTGCTGTGAGGTCACCGTAATATTATTCCAGGTTCATTGCAGAGCAAATGAAAGGCAGAAGGTCCTAATATTGAGACAAATTTCTGTTCAGTAATGCAAAGGGAGGTCGGGCATTCACACTCGCTTTGAGAGTGTCTGGTGTTTGGAAGATCTGGGTCCACGCAATCTAGAGGTGGAAAGCCTTTTGGGACATAGTTTGCCTTTTCATCAAGGCAGAGAACTGTCACATAATATAAGGAATACCTCTTGTCCTCTTAACTGACAATGCCTGCAGATAGTCTGCACTCTTTTACGTAGCTGCTTTCCTGCAATTAGCAAGGGCAAAGGGGAGCATAAACAGTTGTGCTGGTTCCTGCCCAGGTCTGCAATGTTTGGTTAGCAAATAATAGACTGGGGTGGGGCTGGAGATGTAGCTCCCTTACACTAAAATGTCACCTTCCAGCTCTTTCTATGGCTGCCACCCATTTCTCTGGTATTTCCCCATAGGTCCATGAAAGGTTTTGTTCTAATGCCTCAATGCTCTGCATAATCCTTGCTCAGATAAATTCTCCCAGTCATGCCAGTGACACTACTCAGATGAATAAGAAGTATTCAAGAAAGTTTGCATGCCTGCTCCTTAATGATTTATCTTTGTCTTCCTTTTCTTCTCAGATCTGATGTGAGGTTACACCAAGACTTCTGGTTTCTGATGTCCCAGAGCTGAGAAAAAGTATCCCAGATAACTGAAACCAAGCGGACTAGTACTGAACACAGTAAGTTACTTGCTTTCCCGATTCTTCCAGAAAGAATTCAATGAAAAAATTTCACAGTAATTGTCGTTGGGGAAGAGCTCTCTGATTTCTCCATGTATCCTGATGAGCACTCACCTCAGATTAGCTTTCCTCCTCATAGTCTGCCTGCAGCCCTGAGATCCAGGAGATTAAAACACCTTGGTAACTCCTTAATGAGCCAGGACTCTCTGCAACCGCTGGACCAAAAATGGCCCATGTTTGGCTGCATTTTAATTCTCTGCCATCTCCCCTCTGCTCATCAACACCTGCACACATTTGGGACCCAGTGTAAGAAGACCCCTGAATTCAGCTCTAAGCAACCAGTCTGCAATGCACATGTCTAATGCTCTGCTGGTGTGGAACCAGTATGCTGGTAATCCTATTAGTAATGGCAGAAGCTCCCTCTAGGAAATTATAACAAATAGTCTTAAACAATTCCTTTTGTTGACAACTTTATCCAAGAAACCATCTTCCCTGGAGACTTCACTCAACTTTTGACTAATCCCCTCCTTCCCTCAGGAGCTCTTTTGTTGAAGGAGACTGTAGGCAAACCCCAGGAATGACAGGTCTCTGTAAGCCTTGGATCAGCCTCTACATTCTTTCAATTGTCATTCCCCATCTGTCCTGTTTGTACATCGATCTTCTGGTCCAGGGATCTCTCTATTAAGTGACACATGGTTGAGTTTATTCTGCAAGTCCAGTGTCCAGACTGTGCTGTTACATCTTTGTTGACAAGTCAACCTTTCTGACATTGCTTTCTGAAAAACAAAAGGCATCTGCACAATTTCATTCTCTTCTGCTGAAAGGTGATTTTTAAAAATAACCCCCCCAAAAAATAGCCTCTGCTCTTGTTTTATACTCTCTAAGATTTTGCTTCATTTTGTCAAGAGTTACTTCAAAGGCTGTTTCTGTAATGGAGGGTAGAATCTGCTCCTGTTGCAAAGGAATTCTGCTAGGATAAAAATCCATGGCCTAAGTCTGGAGTCAAAAGGAAAAAGAAATCCTAATTCCAGATATTCTATAGGGCTAGTGACTTCAGTTACTTTGCTTGTTAACAGCTGGTTTAAAACAAGCTCTAATCTTCCTGTAGATTCAACTACACTTAGCCAGTACAGTAGCACATGCATATAAAAGGCACTGCATTATTTATCTGCATTTTGAGAGGCAGAAGGAGAACAGAAGCAGATTTCAATTATCCATACATTCCTCCTCAGTAGGTAGAGGAAAAGAGATGGAATAGGGTAGAAAAGGGATTGAGTATTGGCATGGAGTGTATATCAGCCTGGGATAGATGCCTCGCACTATCTCTTCCCTTCCTGAAACCAGAAAGAGAACAAGGAGCAGACTGTGATGATGTTTTGTCCCTTGCTGTGTCGCTCAGGGCCCATGGATTCATGATTGAACCTGGTATGTTTAGTTTTATGGTTTTGTCTATTTTTGTAACTTAACTAAGGTTGGCCAACAAAGGGAGGCTGGCCAGTTTCATTATGTTCCCAGGAAATTCCATTCTCTCATGTGCATGAGGCTGTTGTGCTTTAGATGCCTATCTAACTCTGATTAGATTTGAAAAAGCATACAGAACTCCCTGCTTTCCATTGGTAGCCTATTAAAATGACAAAAAAAATACTCTTTCATTTATAGCCTTGCTTACATGACTGAATCCAGATGACTTTTTTTAAAAAGAGAATTAATAATATGAACACTATTATTTATAGAATGTTTTCCTGTAATGAAGTGCAGAAGAAAACTTTGAGTTGACGTTTAAGCTTGTTTAGTATGTTTTGTAAGCAGCTTAAAAAAATGGACACAATCACTTTAAGGCCAGGTTAATATTAAGAAAAAAATTTTTTTAAGAGTATCTCCTACTATTTTCATGGCTTCACTATTTTAAATTACGTATTTGTGAAATACTCTCAAAATCAATTAAAACTGGCCAAACCCAAGGTCATGGAACACTGAAGTATGAGTGCCCTCCTCAAGTGAGTTGTCCCAGAAGCCTTAGTGGAGCTGACGACCAGCTTTTTTGGCAGGATTAGTTCCTCTCTGATCACAGAGAGGGAACAGCTGCCCAGTCTGCATTTAGGTGAGCAGGTGAGAGGGGAATGTATTCAGGCTGCCTCCAAAACCCAATCTGGCCACAGGGCTGACAATGTCAGGTCTTTCTCAAAAGGACTCGAGGCTGTCCTGTCTGCCTGCTGTTTATGTGATGAAGACAGATGTAGAGAGAGGCTGTGAGACCAGGCACTGAATGCTGGGACCTGATCCTGTAGCAGGTACATGCCACCTACATGCATTTGAAAGCACAGACAAGTAGCTGAGGTTTGCCCTGCTATCACAGCTCAGTTGCCTGTTAGCTTGGCAGACAATAAGATAGTCAAACTAATTTGGCCCCAAGATCAGTTTTCAGGTCTGCCCTGCAAGCACAGACCCAGCTGGTGACACTGACTGGATACATGCTGTTAACAAATGTACAACGTAAACAAAGAGACAGGATGTAATAAAAGGATATTTTCCTGGTAATTTATTTCAATAACAGTGATTTTAAGTTATTTTTTTGGTCTTCTGTAACAAAAAGGAGATGAAAAGCATAATTTTGAGGTGTGTCGTATTAAAGTACTGATTAATTAAAACCAAGGATGTTATGAGCTAAGATTTTGCCTAGCTCTGCTCAGGTTCCACTGTGTGTGAAACCAAAACAAGTAAGCTATAAAATGTGAACTCAATAAACAAAGACAAAGGCAAACAAAGTGATTTGGTCAGTTTAAGCAATGGGGAAATGAAGCAATATTTTGATGGGGGAGGCATCAAAGGAAAGGGCACTGGTCAGAGATTTGGGAATATGATGAAACAAACCCAAACCTCCCATGATACCACTCAGGGTTGTGCACTGGGGGCCACTGGCTTGCTGATCTCTTCACTCTGAATGTGAGATTTCCCACTTTGTCCTCAGCCTGGGATGTGGTCATCTGGCCCTGGGTATCAGTTCTGTTTTCCCACCTTCAATACACTAAGGAATTCACGTGCTAAGGATAGTGGCAGCAGTTTTGACAGTGGCAGCTAAGCATTTACCCTAGAATTAGTCAATCATCCCTGCTTTCTACTGAAACTTGCTTGAACCTCCTGAGAGACGGCCTTTTCAGTAAGAAGCAAACAGGTCACAGATTTCAGGTTGCAGTCTCACTCCTGGAACTGTGAGCACTGGTTGTTCTGTAGAAAAAACAGGTTAAAGAGAAAGCTGCAAAATGGTCCTTTTCCTTTACTGTGCTACTTTCCTAATGCTCTCCTGTGACATTAGCCACAATATAAACTAATCAGGATCCTATTCCTCACAGCTCTATTCCTTCTGACTTTTTTTTTGAAAATTATTTCTTTAATCTAGGCACCCTTCTCTAGAAATCTCATCTTCGGTTTCTTTTCTTTTTTATTTTTCTTGGAGCAACCAGCAAAATATTATTTGGTAGAACAGTGGTGGGAATGCAACCCACTAATCAAAAGGATTCAAATGGATCTATGCTCTGCCAAGCTCTCTCCTTCCCACCCAGTGGAGGGGGAAAAAAAGAAAAAGAAAAAAGAGATAGAGCAAAGGCACGGAGCTTCTCTCCTTCAGCAATCTCACAAATGCAAAACCTTCCACTCCAGTGACTCCTCATTAACTTACCAAATCTGACAGTCTAATTATCGTAGCTGCTTCACGCTTAGAATAAATAAATACTAAAGTGGGTGTTTAAAGAAATTGAACAGTGAAATTCAGTCATCTAGACAGTCAATAGAGAGAGAGTTTATTTTAAATTTTTATATTCTTATGTATTTATATCATTTTAGGAAAGATAATGAGATAGTTGTCTTTCAGGCTAATTGAGTTCCTAGGCTCATGGTTGCTTGCTGTCACAATCTCAAACTTAGCTTTAACTTTTGTGCCTTAGAAATCTGATTACTACATCCCCATTTGCTCTTTTTTGCTGATAAGTGGGTGAAGGCAGAAGTGCACCTGAGGATGGGAAGCAACTACATGGGAGTTCCAGTCCGGATATCTTTCACAGCAAACAAGACAACTAAATCTTCTCAGATTTGCATTTCAGAGTGTTAAAGGGAAAGTGGAAGTTAAAGAAACCTCAGATATAACTTGTGATTTAGACAAAATACGGAAAAGTGTTTGCTAACCTCTGATGCAATAGCATCTGCCTCCATGAAGGGTATTAACAGCCCTCCCCCACAAGAGCAGTTCATCTCCCTGAACAATAAGACCTTTATAGAGATTCTCTGGCCTGAGATCAATGGGAGTCAGAGCATTTGATCCACGTCTGTAGGACTTTGTTTCCACAAGTCATGTGGGACAAACTTTGTGCCAGTTGTGCTTTTCCAAGAGCATGAGCTGGGGAGTGAGCCTTCCTTCTTTTCCCGTCTTCCCCTTTGCCTTGTGCTCCTAAACAGGGCCCTGCACCTGCTAGCACGACGTCTGCTCCAGGCCAGCGCCCAGGGAAGAGCTTAAGCGGGGCGACATCTCCAGAGGCCTGTGCCCTTGGCACACATCTGCTGTGATGTTGCAATGGCTCTTTCCTAGGGTGCTGATTTAATGACATACTACAAAACCTCATAGTTCTGGCAGTATTAATGCAAGCAGACCTTCCACTGCTGTGGAGATCAGGCCAGGTGAAGTGAGGGGTGTTTTTTCTGAGTTAAGTGAAGATTTGCTTTGTCACCTCACAGAAAAAACTGCTTCTGGTTCCGGAGTGACAGCTGATTTGCTGCTTAACACCAGTTTTGTTTTATTCCCTTATTAAGACACATTATAGACAAGCTTGATTCACCTGGTGGGAACTTCACTTTCAAGGAGCCTGTATCTGATTTGCAGTGAAGGCTATCCATTTGCTGTATACAGAGGTGGCAAAGCACAGAGGTAAAAAAATTGTTACTATGTAAGCCTTTCAGCTATGTAGGAGAACCTAGGGAAAGCAGCCAACCTAAACAAGATGTCCATGAAAGCCAGCTCTTCTTTATACGTGCCCTGTGATAACATCTACCAGCACTAGCTAATCCCAACAATAATGGGAGTTTTGGTAGGCAATGGCTTGCAGCTTTAACCTCCTCATTGCCTATCCTTGCTTTGCAATAATGTAGATGCAACAAGCATTAAAATTACAGTGGTCTGTCAACATCAAGCCTCCCTCGTCCTTGTTGTCTCTGAAAAGCTGAACAGTGGGCTGCTTTAGGACATACACAGGGCAGTGTCATCCCCACCTGGAACCCTGGTTTGGAATTGCTGGGGGGAGGCAACAACCAGAGACCAACCGTACCCAAAAGCAGCACGTGTCTCCTAGCCAAAGCCAGGGTCATATCCACGCAACTCACAACCCTCCACATAGAGCACAAATTGGACTTGATGACTAACTGTTATGCCAATGGTATGCCCAGGGTCGAATGTTTCCTGAGCTGTGAGAAAGGTCTATACTGAGCCTGGACGTCAGTACGACAGGGACAGGATCTGAGGTACCAGCTCAGGCCACCTGGGTGGTTTGACCAGAGCTCTTCATGCACTGTGTTTTCTTGGGAGTGCACTGGGGCTAACCCCAAATCCCACTGCTCACCCTCCCTGCCTGCGAGCCTGCTCTAAAGCATTCAGTGGCAAAAGAGAGGGAAAATAAACCAAATCTATAACTAAGAATAATAAGCTGCAATTGTTACTGTGTCTGACCTGTGTGACAGCAGAGTGAGATACCTTCTCAGAAGGCCCTTTGCACTTCAGGACTGACACTGAGTTGAGAGCGCAGCTCACGCTTTCTTGATTCAAGGATCTCATCTTTCTTCCAGGAGTGATTAATTGGACAGAAAACATTCTGCTTTAGCAGGTGGCAAAGGGTTAGACTGAAGTTTTGTCAGAGCTGCTGTAGTGTAGGGTTGCACTGCTCAAAGATAATTGTGTCAGGATTGGCTTAGGCCAGAAAAAGGACAGCAAATGTTCCAGTTTTATGAAAGGTCATCACAGCCACCCCTTAGACTACTAGCCACTGTGGAGGGAAACTGGAGAATCCCCTGCTCCTCTCCTCTGTTGCATATCCAGAGGTCCTGGTGGCGTGTATAGAATTAAAGCCACCAAGATGATGAGTGGGGTTTGAACCTGGGCCTTAGCAGCCTCTTCTAGCACTTAGAGGCACAGGAGTGAGCAGCTGTAGGAGAGGCCCATCTGTGGACCAGCCCCACTCGGGGGACAGAGAGTCTTCCTCCCTTACAGCGTGGGCTACTCTTTTTTTCTAGCACTTTGCATCCAGATGAGCATAAGCAACAGCAAAGCTGTTCCCCTCTGCAGGAGCTGGCCACCAGGAGGCAAAGAGCCCCTTGTTCACTCTCTCTCTTCCCAGGGGCAGCAGCCAGCCTCTAGCCATTAACATTCCCCTCAATAATCAGAAACATGCTATTTGGAGGGGTACCTATATTTGAAACACTGATTTCTCAAATTATTTTTTCCTAGGAATTGACCTTTGAAAAACATCCTCTGGCTTTCAGCTTGTCATAGCAACTTATAAAAAGGACAGTTATGGCTACAATTATTTCATAAAAGTAGAAAATAATTTATTATGGGAACCTTTTATTTTTTCAAGTGTTGTTTCCCTCTTACTCTCTCACACACCTTGGGATTAACCCCCTCCTCCTTTCACCTTTCATCTCCAGCTTAACTTTCTCCTTCAGAGGATGGGGACTAATAGCCAGCATCCTCAAGAACAAAGTGGGAACAGAATATATTTAAAATCTGTGCTGTGTTATCATAGCAACCAGAATTTTAAAATTATATGGTTAAATTTGAAAATAGTGTGATGCCAAAATGACACGAGAGAACAAATGTCTTACATGATTAAGGCAATAGGGATGGCTACATGGGAGATTATTCAGAATTGCTTAATTTTTACAGGCTTAGTGAGTCACTCATGAATATGGTCTTGCATGATCCTACTGTACTTGTTTCAGCCCTGCGCACTTTGATTCTGTTCCCAACACATCGGTTGCTATGATAACGCCATGCAGTTTCCTGTCCACAAGGTACTTCTCAGTGCAATATGAGGGATCATAAATATGGGATGGTGCATAAACCCAGGTGAAATGAATCTATCCCCTCTATGGCAGCATGTCAGAGAGATTGACACATTATGCCAATCTGTTTTCTCATTTCTTCTGTTTCTACTCACTCTCTTCCTTTCTCTCACACTGTCTGTCTCTGTACCTGTTTTTTTTCCACACTCTCTCTCTCTCTCTTGGCACTGACACTTTCATCTTCTCCCTTGGGGATTGGAGATGTCACTGCGGGAAGTGCTTGTCCGCCTCTCCGGCAGCAGCAGAGCCCTGTGGCTTTGACAAACCTCATTTAATTGGGAGGAAGCCAGGAGGGTTTGAAAGAACTGAAACATCCACGAAACTCCTTTTATCAGGCATAATTTAAACTCTGCATGGAAAAAACCCTATATGTATAAAGAAAAGTCAACTTCCCTCCTGCTGTGCGTGCTCCCCTCCTCCCCCCCCGGCACAGGCAGGCTCCTGCGAGATTCCATCTTTTCATTTTTCTAAAAGTGTCAAAGTAGATTTGTGCTCTGTGGCTGGGTGAACAGAAAAGGAATGCAGATGTCTCTCACTCATGCACATACACACACAGAGCACCTTCTGAAGGTCAGCGGTTTGGGATAGACGCTAGCTGGCTGCTCCTTCACTTGGGATGTGTTACAGGAGCCAGAAATTAAGTTTTCAAATAGCTTGACAACATAGTCCAAGAAGGCTTCTTCTTAATTGCCCCTATCTTAAAAAACCCCACCAAACTATCTAGTGTATTTGCCCAGGAGGCAGCGGGGAATGCGAGGGCTCTCTGGTTTGTTGCCTGACAGGAGGGAGCTTTTTCTAGGGGGGAACACAACCTGTAGCTTGAGACACCCTTTTTTTATTGTCAGCTCGGGGAGGAGAGGCAGATCTGTGTATATGCAGCTGTGTGCTTAAGAGAAGGGAGCAAGGGAAGAAGAAAATAAAGCAGGGAAAACTGAGGGAGAACTGGTGTGGTATGAGGAACAGCTGTTGTCTCTGAACATCAAAAGGGAGCAGGAGGAGCGGTCCAAGGGAATTGGGGCTAGCACATCATGCTGAGAGGCTGGGAATTCAGGACATCAGGAGGGACTGTCATGTGCTATGCTGAATACACAGTGTGAGCCAGCCTGAGGGAAAGCTCTAGGCCCCTGGGGTTACAGAATAGGGGGGGAGGGGGGGGAAACGACCTGTCAAAGCATATACACCTCTGTTTTGTAAATGTACCATAGCAGCAGCCCATCCAGGTCTCCTTCTAGTATTAACACTGTGGTGAAGTGGAAGAAAATGAAAAACAAGCTGTCAAATGTGCAATGGGATGTAAACCTTGCAGTATACGGGGGTGGGGAGGTAGGGCAGGCCAAAAAGACAGAGAAGTCCAAGTGAATGGTAGAGACTTTCAGAGTACAGAAGAAACTCATAATAAATGGCATGTGAAGAACCTCTTTCTTGGTGAGATGAAATAGAGTTTAATTACCATCACGAGCCTGATAGAGCTGAGGAGGCAGAGGGCTGAAGAAGCCATGAAGAAGTGCATCCTGTGCCAGGATCCAGCCTCAAGGGAAGGCTGTAAGCATCCTGGAGGCCAAATCCTCCGCTGCTGGCACCCTGCTCAGCCTAGGAAAATGGGAGAAAAAATAGCATAGGAGGTGAGCACAAGCCAGAAAGCTGTAACCAGAACTTCACCCAGCCCTTCTCAGAGCTTGAGGCACTAGAAAGTGGAGGGACACAGGGGAGCTGGATAAACCCACCCCAGCTATATAGCTTTCCAGGGCATTTGCTTTTCCATATAAGTTTGATTATGTTGAAGTATATGCATCCAGGGTTTCAGCTAAAACTCATGTTTTCAGAGGAATTTTGAAATAAAATTGTTATTTTGTAGAAAGAAGGTTGTAAGTAAAAGGGAAAATACTGCTGTGGAGGCTATATTTTACATGTCATAGCTGGAATTTCAGAGATTGGTGTTACCAGTTTACAGTGACAATGCAAGTGCACAAAATAACCTGACTGGCCCACTGGGCAGACCAGAGGTCAAAACTGAAAAACTAAAGAAAATACCATTTCCCCTTTTCCTACCCTAGTGCCATTAGTGCAGCTGGTTGTAAAATGTGTTGCAGATTCACGGAGATTAATCTGTTGCTCAAGATGAGTGCTTAAAATAGATGTAATACACACATGCTCCATGCCCAACAAATACCAATGCCAAGTGGCTGCTTTCTAGAGAAGCACACAGCTGGGGACAAGGAAGTGGAAGAAAGAAAACAAACTAACAAGGAAACAAACATAAATAGTAATTTAGTTTTACAGCTTTTACTTTGTTTGTTTCATCTGATCATGTTTCAGCTTCAGGAGGCCCATCAGAGAATGGCCTGTTGTGCTTTCCCCCTGAGCCCCCACCAGTGTTTCCCCTCCAAGTGACATCAGGCGCCGGGATCCCCCTGCTGCTGCACTCCCCCTCCCTACACAGGACATTTGACATGCTGACATATTTGGTTTGAGGAGAAAAAATGTAAAAAAAAGAAGGGAAAAAACACAGAGAGAGAGAGAGAGAGATTCTGAAAAACAGATTTATAAAACGTGTCTGGCCTCACTGTGGTAGGTAACTGCTGAATTCTAACCTCCAGCAAAATGGTTCGAGCCCCTCCTGCCTTGGGGAGCGGGGATGGGAGAGGAAGCCAAAACATCCAGCCTGAGGCTGCTTGCTGGAGCTGCCCCACAGGCTGCCCCTGCCATAGCAGGGTCTTACTGGAAACCCTCTGCCCCCTCAGTCCCTGCTGCTGCAGCCTCCCACACTGGGCAGCAAGATGGTTCAGTGCTTCCCACCACGGCTTAGGCTGCCTGGTGGTGGCCGAGTTCTGCACAAAGCTCCCCTTTGATTTCTTAATTGGCCATGGCAAGTCATGGCTGAGCAGTCTGTATGAAGCAGCTCTTTCCTTCTCAAGAGTCAAGCATGCCAAGGCAGCCGTTTGGCCATACCGGCATAAGGACTCGGTAACACAGAGCTGGAGCTGGCCCACATGCAGCCCAGAGCTCTGCTGCAGAGGTGCTTGGGCCAGCCTGTCGGTATGGGGCTGCAGTGGGGCTTGTCAAGAGACTGGCCAAAAAGCAGAAGTGCAACACAGCATTGTTGCAAGGAATATAGTTATTTCTGTGTTCAGGCTGAGAGAGGATTTGTTCTGCTCCAGGACCTGTGTTATCAGGGTTTGGGACATGCTGAGCTTTGCGTGTTTCTGAGGATGTGCATGACAACAGCTGGCATTTCAGCAACCTATGCTTTGCTGAAAACTTCAGCATGTTTGTTCAGCCATTCAGAACAGTATCGGGGAAACCCAGCTCTGAAGGGCAGCACACTTCTCTCTGAGCAGGGCTGGATCCCAAGTGATGAGCTGAACAGATAATAAACAGCAGCAATGAAAAATGTGGTTATGTCCTCAAAGGATATTTGATTCTTGACCTGTGCATGAACACAACCCTGAGGACATCCTGTCTAGTCTTTTCCTACATAACTATAAAGACTGTTTTGTGCCTCAAAATCACTATTGGGAGGGGATTCGATTTTAATGACTCTCTGAGTTAGGTTAGGGGACTTTGCCTGATTATAAATTCCTTTCACTGATACATTATGTACGTGTGTGTGTATATACATATATATGCTTGAAAAATACTCGCTTCTCTTAGCACACTAGGGAGTGATTGGGCGGTGTTGGCACACCTGGTCAAGCCGAGGTATGTAACCATGGCCCTAGTCTCATAGCTTTTGGCCACTGAAGAATGTGAATTTTCCCCTCCTAACTAATCACAAGGTTATTTTATTGTCTTGTGAAAATGCTGTCCTAGCACGTCTTTCTTACCACTGTTGAGCAACACTCCTACAGTCTGTTTCCAGAAATGAAAATTGGGACAGTGCAAAGCCAGTCTTCAGTCTGGGTAAGGGGGCCTGGGAAAGTACAACCTTCTGAATTGAACTGTGCCCCACAAAAAGCTGCTCAGAATGTCACTGAATCACTGCTTATCTGAGAATAATCACTACTCCTCTGAGAATAATAAACCCACTATGTGCCTACCTCTACTGCGATCTCTCGAAATCAGTTGCTTAACTGACGTTAGATCTGCTTGTTACTACAGAGCCACCCTGCTCTTCCTGAGCTTGCCAAAAGAACTCATTTCAAGTTAAATGATTGCATAAAGAAACAAATAAACCCAGAGGCGATTTTGACATTGCCGTTATAGGTAGCTTACCTGTCACAGATGACTCAGAGTCTCTGAGGTCTCCTGGAAGCAACCAGTTCTAGAAAGTGTAATATGCAATCACAGGATTAAATGAAAATCAAGCCAAAAACCATTCTTTGAGCCCTTACAAAAACCGTGTGCTCAGAATTTCAAAGGGCCCTATAGAATCTGTCATCTTAGTATTTATAAATATACATTATTCCTATAGGACTTGAGTACCAGCATTGATGTTAATAAGGCTGTTCCAGTTCTGTAACCCTTTCCTTTCATACATCTGTGAATATAGGCCTTGGGCCTCCTTCTGTTACACTGCGACTCTGCTTTGACTTCAATAAAAGCAGTATCAGTCCCTAAAGCCTTCACATGAAGGAAGCAGAAAGAGGTTTGCAGGCTTGAATTCCCAGCAATTGTCTTGGCTTAAGGGGGCTGCTGAGCTTCATCTATTCCCCTGTGGGCATATGGGGCTTTTCTGCATGGATTTGGCAGAAAGACAGGGGACAGAGCAAAGGCACTTGGGTCCCACTCTCTTCTTGCCTGCTGCTCTTGCTGTCAATCCCTCAGTAAGTTTGTCATTTATCAAGTTAACCATTTTCATGCACACTTTGTACTTACTGATTCAAGCATCTCTACCAGACTGGAACTTTTCAGAGTTAGCACTTTTGGGAAGGCCATGTTGTTGTTGCCATTTTTCAAGGACACATTTCTAAACATTGTGGAAAATGTAGAGGAATAAATTCCTCAAATGTTTTCTTACAAAGCATAAATTTTCTCAGGCTTACATATGAACGAATGGCTTAAGCCTGGAAGATTTCCCCTTAGAGCTGATCAACAGAGATATTTTCTTGCATCAGAAAGGCTGTAATTTCTAGCAAGCTACATTTTCCTGAGCACCATTTCTGACAACAGAGATGAATGGTGCGTGCTCTAGCCATGGAATGGAGAGCAGGAAGGGTGTAGACCTCTCTTCCAGCTCAGCCCGGACAAGCATTCCCCATGGTAGGGAGACCACCAGGAGGCAAGCATCACTGGTCTGTTGCCAGTAGACTCAGAGCTTGGCTGGGGCTTATGCTGCATCATCAGAGAGCATCTGCCCTCCCTGCCTGCCTGGGAGCACCAGCCACATCATTCAGGGACAGAAGCTGCCGGCAAAGCAGGAGTCCCCTCCGCCTTTGCCTGCGTGGCCATTTCCAGAGTGCCAGGACCACAGGCTTGGTCACTCAGTGTCTGACTTGATGCACAGACAATTTGAAAAAGTGCAAACTTTCAGTGCTTAACCTTTCCAACAGCAATCTTTCACCATTAAGCCAGGCAAGCAGGTCGTTAACCCTGTCTATCACAGGGTAAGTTAACAGTTCACAATTGAAGTGTACAAAGGTAATTGCTAAAGCAGTAAATGGCAATGTAACCTGGGACAGGATTCATGACTTTTTAGGTGTCAGAGCACTGGAGTTACTACCAGTACATAGAAGTTATATATTAGTATCTTGAATAGCCCCTTCCCAAATCAGTCACCAAGATTAACTCTGGCAGAACATTCCTCTTGGACCACTAATAACATTTTATCTGGATCCTCTTTCCTTCATTTTGCCCCCTTGACTGTAATAAAAGTGTAGAAATAAATTGTCCATACTGAATAGTGATGTAAAGTTTCCAGGCAGAATAGAAGAAAAATAAATTTTAAATGGTTTGGAAACGCATAAGATATCTTTTTTGTATGAGGTAGAAATTTTTATGTCTTTACAGAGCTGACCAAAAACTTTCAAATGTTATAAGTTTCTGCCAGAAAATTTTGATTTGTGAGATGGAAACATTCCATGACAATATATCAATTTCTTTTAATATTGAATTAAAATGTCAAGATGACTTAAATATTATATTTTAACTCTACTGAAATCTTTTAACATTAATATGAGTTTTACATAAAAGTTAAAAAATGCACGTTCAGTTGATAACAGCAGGGCAAAATGTTTCAATGATATCTAAGTGAAATATTACTTTGTTTCTGTGGACTGCATTTTCAGGATTAACATTCCAAAGTGGAAATAGGATTTTCTTTACATTACAGATAGAAATATCAGCTTGCTTACTGGGAACTGGGAGGAATACCTGAATTATAGTCTTTGCTGTCTCAGGCAAGCCTCTTGACTTAAATTTATCATTTACATAACATGGAGATTATCTGCAATGGGTAGTATAAAGAGCCAGTGAGCCAACGACTGCTGTCACTGTCCAAACACATCTCTCATTGCTTGAGTGAGGACTGCCAAACCTGCCACTTTGAGTGTACAGAGCTTTGATTATAAATGGAAGATATGGATAAGAAAACAGTGTGTCTCTGCTCAAGGATTTAATGCAGTTAACTAATCCACTTTAAATCAGTTCAGATTAATCTCCTGACTGACCCCATATAGACAAACCCTTTTGCCGAGGCCCCATTGTGTCGAGCAGGGTAAGAACAGAGCAGTAAATATTTTCCCTACTGTAAGATTAAGACCAATCTAAGATTGTAAAACAAAGTAAACAGCTACTCCTTAAAGGCAAGAGATAAAGAATATTTGGATATCATTCCAAAAAGTGGATGAACTACTGATTTAATCGTTTTACAATGATGATATAGACATAAAATGATAGGATTGTGTAGGGCTGATTAGCTTTTTTAAAATACCAGTAGATCTGAAAGGTAGTGCTTGGTTTTGTTGTTTTCTATCTGTATGCAAGGCAGTGTGTGCTAATGAGGAAACATGTTCCTGTATGAAAACCCAGGTGGAAGTGGCTAATGAACTGATAATGAGGCAAGCAAGCCAGAGGACAAAAGTTAAACTTTCCTAATTGATGAAGGGAGAGAAAGAGGATACCAAGCCCTGCTCACTGGGGTTGCAGGCTTGCAGGGAAAAATTATCTCATTAGTGAAATTTCTGTGGCTGCAGGACAGAAGCAGAGTTCTGTCTGTGTGGCAGGCTGGAAACTGCAGTCTGTGCCCAGTGCAGACAGATAGGAAGTTTCCCTGCAGCTGGGCCAGCATATACTGCGCATTAGTTACAGCGCTGCTCTTCGCTTTGGGATCAAAGCCACATGCAGTTTATTATGACAATTAAAATTTCATCGTTTTAGAATTCAGTTTCCAAGCATCCCATCTGTTAAATGAAGCATCAGCATAAAAACTGTGATTAAAAAAAAAAAAAAAGAAAAAAAAAGGAAAAGAAAAAAGCACTCGGAGTGCAGACGTTCATCTGCATTCTAAAAAATGTCATTTGAAGTTTGTGGTCCAGCGCCTGCTGCTTGTTGCCTCCATCTGCTGGTGACATTTTGGAAACGCAACAGATACTAAAAATCTACTCGGGAGCAGAAGTTGACTCTGGAAAGCTTCTAAAAGCTTCTTTTCATTCAGCACAGCAGAGCCTTCAGATATGTGAAAAACTAGGCTTAATTTAAAAGTCATTGCTGCATCTGCAAAGGCCCAGTGTAAGGCCTGCGTCTGCTAAGTGAGATGATACTACCTGCCATAGGAAAATTAATTAGTCAGCCTGTGCGATTAATCAAGGAGTAAAGCTCACTCATAGCAAACTCATAATGCTGTAAACAAATAAGCACTGTTCCCTGCTCTTTGGAATCCAAATGTCAGAAAAAGGAAACAAAAAACACCTCGGTGCACTGGGCACTTCAATATTCCCAGTTTGGCAAAAGCGCTAGCTTAATGTCATGGGCTGTGATTCCTAATCCTTTCCTGCCCTTGACCCCTGCTGTCTGGATTCAAACTTGTAACCATTAATGGGGCTGGATCAAAACACTGGCCTTCTGGTGTCACCAATGGTGTTTAGAGGGGATTTAAACTCCCTGCTTTTCAGCGCAGTGAAATGAACACAGCAGTAGATTAATGCAAGGATTTCAGCTCACACAGCATGAGAGCTTTCAAAAATAGTGTTAACAGAGCTACAACTGCCTCTTTCAGGGGAAACAAAATGAGGGGAACAGAACAAATGAACAAACACAGGGCAAAGCCTCGTCGCTACAGGCAGGGCTCCTAAGCCCAGGGAGCCAGGGACCAGGCCAGCGAGTGTGCTGAGACGTGGCGCTGGAGCTCTCCCAACCCTTCGTATTCTACAGGAACCAGTTCTCAAGCCAGGGCTGGGGTACAACTGTCCTTTCAGGTGCCACGGCTGCGTGTAATTCCCTACCCCAGGTGCCTCTCCTGCGGAGAGAGGGGGAGACCATCAGATGTAGGGATGGCCACGGAAGAGTTCCTCACCCAATCTTCCTGTTCACCTGGGGTCAGGCACAGGTTGAGATTTTGGCAAAATGTGGGCAATGGGCATGAGGCCCATTTCTGAACTTCTTTGTGCAAGCAGGCGTAGGGTCATCGGGTGGTCAAATACTCCTCTGCACATTTTGTCCCTTGCCAGTTGTCTGTAGAGGGGGCAGGGGAGCTGCTCTTCCTTGGCTCACAGGCTCTACAGCCCATGTTGTATCTCCTCTTCAGACTCTGCAGCAGGATGTGCTTGAGCCCACAGTAGTGACAGGAAAACATCTGGAGGTTTCCAGCTTTCATTTCAAAGACACCTACTAACCCACCTGGCCCAGGAACCTTTCCAGTAACAACCTCAGTCTGGGGCTGAGCCTACACTGCCTGAATCCAGTGGGAGTTTTGCCATCAACTTCAACGTGAATAGGATCACACCTCAGTGCTTTGTTTTACCGGTGTTCGTTCCTTGCCTCCGGCAGGAACCTGTTTGTTTGCTGCCTGCGCTCACACAGACATCAATAGGACTACCTAAAAGCATTCAAGCCATCAGATTTGGGGAAGCCTCCAAAGTTTGTTTGCTTGCCTGAACAATCCCAGGCACTCAGATTCACACAACTGGGCTGGAAATAACCTCAAGAGAGAAGGTTTTCTCAGGCAGACTGCACAGCTTCCGCTTGGGCTGAGCGTGTCCTGGGGGATGAAGCAGCACTTGTGCTTCAGGGAAGAGAGGGGAAGTGCACAGGAGCATGTGAATGGCAAATAGCTTTAAACAAAGAGACTAGTTTGCCTTTTTACCAGCAGCCGCATCAAAAACTGACTTGATTCAGTTCATGACTAGGGCAAATAGTCCAACCTTATATGACTAACTTCCTTCTATCCAGACTAGTTTGTATAATCCAGGTGTGAGCCAAGTGCTTGGTTCCAGTACGTGGCTGGAGCAGCTTGGAGCCCCTCAGGCAGGCTCTGAGGAGGGGAAAGGGATGCTCCCTCTCCAGCTGGCACAGCTACTGCCCCAAACACTGGCTCAGCACCCCTCTCCCGTGTGTTTGCTAGCGTGGTGGGATGCTCCCACAGGAAGGTGTCCTCTAACTCCTGCATTTCTGCCTGCTCCAGCCACAAAAGGCACCAGCATCACAGGATCATAGCACAGCACAGGTCAGTTCTGCCCCACTGGAGTCCATTAGGGAAACTTTCTATCAAGCCTGAAAGCAACTTGGACTTGAAAACTTCTTATGATAACTGGACTTGTCTTTACTGGAGCTATTTATGTGCTGCCTAGGTGCCTGTCCTCTCCCTCCCAGCCCTGACATAGGAGTCACCGCTCAGGGCAGTTCTGGGCATTCACACATTCTCTGCTGTCTGTACTAGTTTCTTTGCATAGGCTTAATGGTTGCACTTTTAGATTGTCCCTCTATATATAATCAAGATATCTAATCATCATTGCTGAGAATTTTTGGCCTTGTATGAGCAGATGACTGGCATAAAAAAATTTCTTTGTGATCAGTTTGTCCCACACATGAGCATTTCTTTCCTCCCAGACTACCCTTCCCAACTTGTAGACTACCCAGCCAAGCCTTCAGCGGCTTAGAGAAGAACGTGCTTCCTCCAGCTGTCTGCTCTGGGCTTGCTCCCTATCCAAATTAAACTTGCTGTGGACAGCGACACATTCCCATTTCACGCTGGTTTGATTAATGTGTCTCAGCTAATTGTGTGAAGGATTCCAGTCCTTTCGACTGTGAGACCAGGTTATTGTTCAGCCAATCGCAGCTACCATGTGAAAATGGGGGCTGTTAGTGTTCATGCACCAGAATCAAAGGAGGGGCATCTTGGACTGGGTCACAGAACAACACCCACTTCTTTGAAAAGATGTTACTATGCTCTACTAAACCTGTAAACTCTTGCTCAAAGCATGTCTTCTCCCTCCTCCTCCTCTCCCCCTTGCTCTTTTTCCCCTCTTCCAGATAGACAGGCTCCCCCCACCACTCTTTCAGGGTACAAGTGAGAGAGAATGGCTAGACTGTCGATGGCTAGATTTCAGATTCTAGGGTTTTTAATATTTCACTTTTATATTTCTCTCAGAGAATGATCCTGCTGAGAGGCTGAGAATGTGTTCATCATTTCCCCCTCACTGACAGTTGAATATATTTTCCCAAGAGAAAACATTAAACAAAAAGGGAGAGAAAGAGAGAAGGGGGGAGAGAGAGAGGGAGAGTGACTGAGCTAGCTTTTCAAAGCATACTTCTCAACCTGCCCACATCAAAATAAGAGACAACTAGCCCTTTGAAGTCCAGGACACAGACTTCTCTACCAGCCCATGCGGAAATAAAAGAAGCCAGCTTTATAAATCACACAGATTTCTCACCTTGCCCACATCAAAATCAGGGACAGTGACCTTTAAAACTAAGGTTTAAAGGCCCCCAAACCAATCTCCATAAAAATAAGGAGAGTTCAGATAAACTATCTCCAGGTATCTGTCAGCTTTTCCAGTCTAAACCAGGAGACGTTGATCCTGTGCACTGGGGAGTGGAGATCAGCTACATTGTCAGCACTTGCAGCAATGAAATCTTCCATCAGCCTAACACACACCCAGCAAGCAGTGAGGCAACTTTGCCACCTTTGCTTGCATATGAGGCCAATCCCAGTGGTGTTGTAGGTCCTACAACAATACTATCATTAGCTCAAGAGATTTAGTAACACTGAAGCACAGAATTTTTCATAATGAGAATTACTGACACAAAAACTGAGTGGCTAGTGGCTCAGAGAAAAAGTTGGCATCCTTGTTAGTTAAATCCTACCTGGGTTATAGTTGGGGAGCTTGGAAATTCCTGGCCAGGTGTCCTCAGTCGGAACCCCCAATACCTGTGCAAAAGAAGAGAGTAAGAAGAGCAATAACTTCTGTCTGCCAGTACTCTGCCTTGGTGTGGAGCTGGAGGAATTGGTCTCAATGGAGAGAGACTGGTCTTTACTGTAAATCAGCACAAATTCACACTGCCCTGGCTGATGCTGGATCTACCACTGGGCATAAAGGACACTGACATTTAGCACTTGATTTATAGCAGAAAGGGTCCTGCTGAGATTGAATGTTGTTGCTGCTGGGAACATCAGTGAAGGTGTACGTAGCTTCACTGCCAGGTGCCACTCCTGCATGTGTTTGCCAGCCCAGAGGTCACATTGTTTGGCCCCTTTTGCCACTGAAGGTGTCCTCCAGCACCAGAGCTGCACTGGGGACTTATTCTGCCCACTTGTGCTGGCAGCAGCCAATATGCACAGCGGCAGCACAGGCTGTGAGCTGTGATAGAAACCCCCGCCATTCTGAGGTGAAAAAGAAAAGCTGTCACTCACTGGCAAGTACTAGACAGCAGTCCAGTATCACCTCCTGAAGGGTCCAGAATCTTCATCAGTGTCTTTGGTCTTTATTGTGAATTGTGGGCTTTAGAAGGAGGTCCTCACTGAGCAATGTCTGGGCCAGTAAAGCCTCCTCCAACCTCATTTGAGTTGCTGAAATGTGTGAGATCAAGCATGTCTGGATTGCTGTGCCAGTTGCAGTTGCGGACATTTAGTGTTACTATTATTACTTACTGCATGCACAATGCCTCGTGCCTATTGATATGGATGAGTTGTGCTGAAGAGGTAAAGCCACATATTTAAGAAGAGTTCACAGCATGTGATATGGTATTATAAATCAGTACTGCTAACTCCAAGCATTCAAAGCTTATCATCCAGACAACCCCCAAAATTATCAGATTTCCTTAAAAAACAGTGAAATTTTAACATGAAAAATGTCAGGGCTTTTTATTGACTTTCTCTTCTCCAACATTAGATTTGTCTCATGTTCGTTACACTTTGCATATGATAGACAATTCCTTTTCCTTAACATGAAAGCTGAGATATATCATATAGGGAACTTGGCCTCACAGAAACTTGTGATAAGATTGCAAGAAAACAGGCATCAGTAAAAAAATACGTTAAAGAAGGAAGAAATAAAAAGGCTGGTGGTTGCAGTTGTGCATCTGGTAGCTGATTGCTTTTCTCACTCACAGTTGGGAAACAGCTGTGAGGACAATTACAGCTACCTGGAGAAGACAGCCACAAGCGTGTTTCCAAACTGCTTGTGGACCCAGCCTACTACAGCAAAGACCAAAGGGTAGCATCCTTGTCTCTGATCACCCGTAAAATCAGTTTTGGAAGCTGCCCCAAATCAGTCTTGGAAGCTTAAAAGTTCCCCGAAGAGAAGGTGTCTTGTAGTGTTCAGCCAGGTGAGGATGTTGGAAGGCAGCTCGCATCAAGGGTAACGTGACAGCTCTGGATAAGGATGCATTCTTGACTGGTGTGTGCATCATGTAAGTAGGGCAGGTCTGCCCAAAGCAAACTATATGTGCACAGGAAAGAGAGAGTTGGAATCTGAACCTGAAACCAGAATTTGCTCTCTTTTGCTACCCTCTTAACTTTCCAGGAAGCCACAGCAAAACCTCTAAAATATTCTGCATTGAAAATCCAGGTGTGTGTTCTGAAGTGCCATCTCTGCATTCATCTGGGCCCTCATTCTTCAAGGTTTCTTGTGAGCCATCAGGTATCAGAGGGAGCTGGGGAAGTTCAGTACACAGTAAAATCCTACTCTCCAGGGCCAGCTCAGTACTCTGCCTCTCTTTGGTGAAGAATTTAAGAAAATATTTATTTGTGCATGCTTGTACTTTGCTACATAAGGTTTTCAGCAAATGCTTAAATTTTGCTGAGTTCAGGTGTGAAAGCATTCAGAGCACCAATCACTGAATACCATATGAATAGGGATTTATGCTTGTATTTTCTGAATATTTTCTTTACAAAAGATGCTATTCCAACCCATTAATTTGGATCTATTTTTGAGTTTCTAAGGTAATGGGCAGGTGATTTTAATTTTTTTTGTTCACCCTTGGACCTTTAATGAGATTATTTACCAAATCAGACAATGAGTTGTATTTATTTAATTGAAATTAATTATACTCTAGGGATTGTTTTATCTGTTGTGTATCCATCCTAAATCTAGGTGTTAACACTCTGGTCCATGCCATCAGACAAAGCAAAAGAGCTTCTCTATCCTTGCTACTCTGCCATGCTTCCCCAAGCAGGCACTTTTTACTATAGTGAAAAGTCTTGGTGCAGCTCAGTTCAGTCCACTTTGGAAGAGGCATAGTTTCAGCCAGAAACATATTTACAATGCCTGTATTTCAGCAAGCGCTTTAAGCTGGTATAAATCATTGTGCTGTCTCTCTGCCTTTTAACTGCTTGCTTCTCCTGTGATGAACCAGATGAAAGAATCGACCTAGCTGATTTTGCTTAGTTTTCCTGGGAAGTTATATTTTATGTTTTATGTAGAGAAGCCTTATAGTCATTCATTTGGCACTTGTCAGGTGTTCAGTTCAGCCACAGAAGCACACTCATGGCATGCTGCAGCCTAACCCAGCCCACATGAAATCCTTCTCAACACAATGTTAATCAATAAGATGGAGTTTTTGAATGCAAAGCCTATGCCTGATCTCTTGAAATCTGAATGATGGATCTTAAGTTTGTCAGGTTTGCTTATTCTCCCCACCATTAGAGAAATGGAGAGACTGCAGTTTGCATTCACTCAGGCCACAGCTCCCTAACCAGCACTGCCAGCCAAAGTCACTCCCTCCTCTTTGACCCCTTCCCATGTGGTCCTGCTCCTGCATCATCCCTTCATGAGTACTACTGGTCATCAGTGCTACTGTTTGTGCAGCCAGATGATGAACTGGGTAAATAAGCTGTTCTTCTTTAGAGTAACCCATGGAGAAAACCAAGTTGTAGGTTCCCCAGTTCATGCAGCCCCACATGTGAGGGG